GTCTCTGTCCTCCCCGTGCATCTCTGACCTCCCCATGTGTCTCTCTCCTCCCCCGTGTGTGTCTGTCCTCCCGGTGCATCTCTGTCCTCCCCAGTGTGCACCATCTCCAGCCCCTTCTCACTTTTTTCCTTGGGCTTCGTTTCTTCACGTGCTGGTGCATGTTTCCAGCATTGTTCATGGCCCTTAGCTTGGTCTGTGGTCTCCTAGTGGGCACAGAGTACCATAGGCCATCTGAAAGTCCCCGAGGGACGAGCTGTGGTTCCCTTGGAGAACACCTCAGCTGCCAGGAGGGATGGACTGTGGTTCCCATGGAAGCCCCGGGTCTGTGGGTGACCCGAGTGGCCACGAGAGGGACAGGCCATGGTCCCCTTGGCAGTCCGAGGTCGGCTCACTCGCCAGTGTGAACTGCCCCCTTACCTCCCTGTCTACTTGGCATCTCCCCCGGTTCCAGATAGGAAAGAAACAGCTGTGTGGGTCTGCCGCACACCGCACCCCTCCTGCTTGTGTGCAGACGTGCTGACGTACGCTCTGAGCTGGAGTGTTTCCCAGGGTTACCGGCATACTGGCAGTCCTGGGCTCATTGTGGCAGTACTAGGCTCTGGTGAGCAAGTGCCCTACAGACAAACCTGAGGTCCTGAAGGGGCCGTGGAGCCTGAAGTGCCTGGGCCCCTTGGCACTGCCTGGTGAGCATCTGAGAACTCGGCGTGTCTCCCATGTCCGAGCCCCCACAGAGGGCAGTCTGCAGGGTCCTTTACTCATGTGGCCAGCAGGGCTCAGCATTGGGAGGATGGGGATCTAAGCTCCTTCCCCATCTTGGTGGCCAGAGCCCAGTCCAGCGGTGGCCACTGTGGCCCTCAGGGAGGTAGCCTGGCCTGTGTTACTGGCTTCTGTGTTGACAGAACTAGGTGATTCCTGCCCCAACTGAGACTCGAGGTGTTGGGAGGTGCAGCTCTGAGCCTCTACCTCCACGTCCCCCGCCGTCCCTCTGTTGGAGACTCGCAGCCTCGGCACCTGCTCCTGTGCTGCCGAGTGTGGCCACAGGGGCCACGGCCAAGCCCCATGTGTGTGCCTGAGTGTGCCTGCAGCAGCTCCGTCCCCACTAGTGTCAGGAAGAAGCGGGGACGCCCCTGCTTCAGGAGGGGCCTGGGCTCGGGAACTGGCCCTGCCCACCTTGGGGGGTCGGTGTCCTGTCTCACCACCCCATGGCCAAGGTGCTGAAGGACACGAGCCTGGACAGAGAGGGCGTGTGGGGCTGCCCCTTCTTTCTGTCCCCGTCGGAGGCCTGCTGAGCGCGCTGAGGGACTCTGAGCTGAGTGCTGGGCTCGGTCTGCTCCGCGGCGCCGCAGTCTTTCGCTGGTGGCTGAAGATCAGAGGTGAGCAGAGTGTGGGCACCCGAGGTGGGCACAGCGGGCCCAGGAGGGCACAGGCACTTGGCCCTACCAGGTGCCGCTGCACAGATGCCAGACCCTCCCCCAGGGCCGTCTGCTCACCCTTGGGTGGAGTTTCACATCCTGAGCTGTGATTTTTCCCATGGGGGTTCCCGATCACAGCGGGGCAGGCAGGTGAGGTGGTGTGACGTCCTGAACTTGGGCCCTTGTTGGCTTCGTTCACAGTTTCCTGCATTGAACACGGACGTGCAGGGGACAAGGAGACGCCAGGAGAAGCCGAGCTGGTGGGGAAAGGCCTTATTTTCACCCCTCTTCCCTGCGTCTGAGTGTGAAGGTGAGGTTCACCTGTCCACGTGCTCCTCGCTCACCCCACTAGTCCCGGCTGTGTCATTTATTCTGGGATCCCTCAGGAAGCCTTTATCCAGTGTGGCCGACTGTGTAGTGCCCGGGGACCCTGCATGTCCTCATGGGGCGGCAGGTCTAGGAGGAGAGTTGCTTTGAGGGTGGGGCAGAGGTGAGGGGGGAGCCTTCTCATCAGGGTGGTCTGGCTCAGGGCAAGGGAGCAGGGCTGCTGTAGGGAGTGGATGGGGGAGGGAGAGGGCCCGTGAGGCCGTAAGTGAAAAGTGGGGCCTGGCAGGACCACAGGTGGGAAGGAAGGGAGACCCTGGTGGGCGCTTGTTGCTTTAGTGGACAATTCCAGTTCGCGGCTGTTGACCCAGGCCAGCCCTCCGGAGCGCAATGCCTCACTCTCTGGGTTTGACCTGGTGGTGCAGGGCTCTGGGCAGTGGCCACTCTGTGACTTGTGGGGCTTATCAGACTGTTCAGAGGCTCGCCCTCCATCATTTACCCAGAATCTCTTGGTGCTGAGTGAGGGTGATGGGGTCAGGGTTCCCTTGGCCCTGGCCCTGCTGACCCCCAGCCGTGCAGGCTGGCTCCAGGGGTCCAGGTTCCTGGCTGTTGATCCTGGCCGTTCCTGCTCTGATTTGGGCAATGGGGAGTTGGCGAGGGCAGTATGCATCTTCCTAAGACCCTTGGTCCGTCTGTCCCTGCACTGTAAGCTCTGTAAAGTGACCATGGGGTCACAGCCTGGATGCTGCCCAGCCACTCCTGGCCAGGACCCCGGTACCCACTTTCTTGAGCTGGCAGGTGATTTCTCAGGAGGCTGGACAGGGATCCTGCCTCACACCTGCTTATGGAGTTCCTTTCTCTTCACTTTTGCGTGTTTAACGGTTAAGAATGCTACACCAGTGCCAAGGGGGAGAGCAGTCTGGAAGAATACCAAGACGCTAAAGACACGGCCAGTCACGAGCACCCGCTGGACTTCAACAGGGTGAGTGAACTGTCCTCATTGCTAGGGTAAACACCCACCATCCCTGGTCAGTACAGGAATGATACCAGTGCATGACCGGACCTCATCCCCCAGGCCACCCTGCATCCTGAACACCTTGCCCCTTCAGGCAGGGCCTGTGGGCAGAGCGCTTCAAGCCCTTCTCAGACAACCCCTGTCTACAGACAAGACAGAGCAGCCCTTGGGGCCGCAGGCAGCCCTCGGGGTGCAGTCTGTCCACAGGCCGGACAGAGAGGTTCTTGGGGTGCTCCCCAGCTGACTTTCTGCAGAAGGTGCTTCTCCTGCCCTGTGAACACTACCCAGCACGAGTGACCTGTGACAGTTTATGCTGTCAGGCGATTCTGAGTGGCCACCTGATAGCAGAGCACCCTCAGTGTGCGAATGTCCCCTCGCTGGGTGTGACTGGGCCTCTCCCACAAGCCCAGGGTGGGACAGACATCCACCTTCCTGCTAGCAGTCAGCCACCTGACAGAGGCACCACCCGAGCCATTGCAGCCCGAGTGTCCTCCCCGGCCTGGGCTCCTGTCCCTCCCGCCCGGCTGTCCCCACAGGCAGAAGTGATGCTGAGGCTTCTTGGAGGACATTTGGGTGAGGGACAGGCCACAATTCTGGAGCCTGCATCGTCTGTCCCTGTCCCCTCCGCAGGTGTCATCCATGTATGAGGCCAGGTGCAGCGGGGAGAGGCTCTCTGGGGTGCAGGTGCACGGCTTTCGCAGAAAGGTGGGCGAGGGCCTGGACAGAGGCACTGCGGCTGGGGGGGCAGGGGCCAGGAGTGGCTGGGTGGGAGGGCCAGGAGTGAGGGGGCTGCGCACTTCTTCCTGATTCAGCTCAGACTCCTTCAGTAATCTCTCTCTCCACTCCCCACCTTTCTCCGCCCCACCTGTCTTCCCTCCCCAACCCTTCCCTTCCCACTCCTCTCCACCTCTCCCCACCCCTTCCATCCCC